TACGAAAGTTCTTCATCGATTGCTTTGAAATTTGTCATAACGTATTCGAATATGCGCGTGTTATTATTTTATTATTTACAAGCTGTTCCCGTGACTTCGTCAGCGTAGAATTTGTTACGATTTGATTTCATGCGCTGAACTATAACTTCTTTTTCTAAAATAAAAGTAGCCTAAGTTGCTCCTTATAACATCGGCTATCTACCAGTGAAAGTCCTATCCAAATTGGTCCAGGCATTTCGGAGATTAGCCGGAACAAACAGACAAAAATTTTAAAAATGTTTTATGGTTATATACGTATCGTATGTATTTTCATATACATTTAGTAAAAGCTGTTATTTTGACATTACAAACAGACACTTCAATTTTATTTATTTGTATTTGTGTAGATTTTTGAAAAACTTTTTAAAGCACGCGTGTGCGGTAGTTGTCAATATTTTTTGTGAAGTATCGTGGTAGCTTATAGGCTAAGCGTTAATCCTAAATTTCACAATACGGGACCAACCCGTATTCGATTCCTGTTGACACCAATAAAATTGTTAATTGCAACTTTAAGAGCTGATTTATTAAGGTGACTTTTGTTTTCCAAAATACTGTACGGGGACATGGCTTCCCGCCGTCCCACCTTGCTACACCACTGACACATACGTGCATGTGTGTCAATTTAGATATGGGAAAAAGGAATCAATTAAATAAATATACTTTTTCGTTGATATAGTGGTCGTAAGGGTTATTTGTCAAGAAACTCTCTGTCTCAGAAAGTCTCAACTTTTTTGTCGGAATCCCGCAGTTCACGATGTTTTACCCCCGTGCCTAGGAAAACACGTAAATCCATTGGTCTCAAACCTGATCTTTCTCCGTTCATGTTGAGTTGCCATCTCATCGGACTATGAGAGTGAAGGAATAGAGAGTGCACTGTGCTTGCGTTTTAGTTACACTCGTGCACTATAATTTTTCGCAGATGGCTAGTCTCCGTTAAAATTGGCGGTGACCAAAATTCCATCTCAAGATCATTATTATATAATAATGCGGTTCTAAGCCTTACATATAAAAGTAACACACGTTTAGGCCGGCCACATACATACCGAATTCCGTTTACGGATTCCGTTTCGATATTCCGTATATGACCATCATTATATATATGACCCGTCACATTCATACGGTATTTTTCCATTCGAAATTTTGCAGGCAAAACGGGATTCCGTATGTGTGTGGCCAACCAGTTCGGAATTCCGAAACGGAATCCTGAAACGGAATTTCGTATCTATGTGGCGGGTCTTAACCTGCCTGCCACATACATACGGAATTCCGTTTCGGGATTCCGTTTCGATATTCCGATTCGGGATTCCAAACGCAGCAATTCCATATAAAATCAAGAACCCGCGACACACGAATGGTAGTTTTCCGTACGGAATTTTCTCCGATTCAAGATTCCGTGTGACCGCCTGTGCGTTCGGAATCCCGAACGGAAAAAAGCCGCCCCGAACGCAAGTCTTCCATAGATTTTGTATAAGTCTCAATGTGTGTTACATTCGTAAATTCCGTACGGAACGCGCTCAGTGTTCGTCGCACGACCGAAACGAGTAAGTGTGTTTATGTACGTTTTTACATTTAATCTTATATGTGTATAGCTTTTCGTAACCTTTCATCTTATTTTGTTTAATAAATCGTCGAAAGGGTTTACAGACATATTCATATTTTAAAAAATATCTCTAGATAGATAGATCTTGTTACATAATATTGACTATACTGCAAGCTTAGGGTGATAAGGGGATGCACCCAGTAACAATGATACAACAATAATGGAATCGCAATCAGAAAATCGTCGTCGTTATTCGCTGGCAGAATGTCTAGACTGAATGGCGAACGTCTCTCAACTGAGCCTTGTTATTGCGAATGGAAATGAACGTATGTGTGTGATGTATTCACGGAATTCCGATACGTTCCTAATACGTTCGAATCCTGCACGGAACAAGTATTTGTATGGCCTACAAATAATTGTTCCGGGTCTGAATGTTTGTCCTTGTGCAATTTATATTTTTAAACTGCCTCCGCGATACAGGACAAAATCCTGAGGTGGAAATAACGGTTTTGTTAAATAAATAAAGAAGGAAGAAGCTGTCATTGCTTTCCAATGCTTGGGATGAGTGAAGTGATCATTTACTACTACGACTGGTAATACTTTTCTATTGCGATTTTTGAATGGACAATTCGCCATTGATCAAACCACCTTCGTCAAACATCTAAATGCACAGTGTGCAATTTCAAAATGAAATATCCTTCTCATTATCACAAATGTATATGTTTTATTACACTAGACGCTAAATATCAAGTAAATACTTCATCATCATTCATCTTGATAATTGCATCCTTTCACAAATCTACTACTGAACATAGGCCTCCCCCAAAGAATGCCACAAATCACGGTCGTTAACCACCTGTATCCATCGCATTCCTGCATGTCTTACCAGGTCGTCACTCCATCTAGTAGGGGGCCGCCCCACACTTCACCTACCGGTACGATACTGCCACTCGAGAATCTTGCTTCACCATCGGCTGTCGGTTCTTCGAGCTATATGGCCGGCCCATTGCCACTTCAGTTTACTAATCCATTGGCTTATGTCGGTTACTCTGGTTCTACTGCGGATATCCTCATTTCTATGTTTACCACACACAGAAACCCCGCAAAGAAATCAAGAATATTCTTGATTTTTTTTGTTAACACCATGTCTAAAACTACGCAAAACAAGCCGCATATGCATAAGCTCCACTTGAGCATGGATTCATCCCAAAATATTTCCTTAAGTGAACATGATTTATTTTGATAATGCGATAAACAATCTAAATTTAACTTTTCTTGAATCCGTCCATTAAGGTCATTTCTGTAACAAACAACGCATTTATTGTCATCACCTTCATCAGCATTTTTAAGTTCATTGCAGTACATGATTCTCCCCTAGCTACCGAAGTAAGGTCTTGTACCAAGTAGATTCCTCAATTTCCTACATGCTTTATAAGGTTGTCAGTCAGTCGGTAATGCATTCAATTGTAAAATATGTAAGTAGGGTTTTTTCCGAACCACTGGTAAAAGTAAAAAACGACTTTTAATAAAAATTACTTGTAATCTATAAGGAATAAAAAGAAATACAGTACGTGAGGGTAATATGGTTATCCAGTTAATATGGTCACTTTCTTATAAATCAAAAACTACAGCCTTGTTTGCATAGACGGTTCTGTGATACGATAACTCCTCATCAGTCAATCAACAATGAAGGTTTAAAAGGATGCTGCTTTATCGACGCCATTTTGATAGTTAAGTTTTCGGTAAATATTTTAGTTGATTTTAGTACTGTAGAGGGTAGTTAGTGGATATATATATATATATCCACTATAATAGAATATAATAATACAATTATATATATATATATATATATATATATATAATTGTATTATTATATTCTATTATAATCTGTCATTCCATTTGACAGGATATATTTTGATAGGTACAATATACTATAGTACGCTAGTCATTGCAAAGCTGACATTCGAAAATCATAAATGTATGTCAGTGAGATCTACCACAGAAAGGCTAGTTCTATCAAGATGAAAGATTCATAATCCTATTCAACCAAACACCAACCAACCAACCGAAGTTTTTGATTATCTATTTGTTATCCCCTGGTTTTTTCCATCTGTCGTATCTTAAAGTATCCACTGGAAAATGTGGGGTAGTCTTACACCGCCACTACACGGTTGCACCATCGCTTGAACAAGTCTACTGCGGACGACCTTGTGAGAAGAAACGGCAAGAAACTCAATTTATCAAAGTAAGTTATTGCTTTATGCTACTTACTTACTTAAGCGGATCGTCAACCACAGTTTTTTTTTTATTATTTCGAATTGTTATCCGAAAGAGGGAAAAAAGATGCTGCTGCCTATCTCCTGTTTCATTTCCCTCTATCTCTTACGATAACCACGGTAACCACCAATGATATGTGTGGGTAGCGGATTCTCATTACACGGCGAATATATAACTGGATCATTTTGTTTCGATAACAAAAAATAGTTTTTGGTCTATTTTAGTCTGTTCTAAAAACAGTCCAGATTACAAAACAATCGCAAAAATCTGATTGTGTGATGTTACTAAAAATTCTTAATCTTGATATGATATCTATGATATACAGAATTGAATAGAATGATTTTTATTCAATATTGATTATTACATAATACTTATTGAAAGTCATTTTTTTATTTACCACTGTTTCGGAAAATACCTCTGTCCTGGGAAGAACCAGCAAGAAACCCAACGGGACTTTGTTTAACATAATTTCACTTAACGATAATTTTGTTTATACAATTTTAAAAGAATTTTCATAGAACCAGCATGGTTTACATGATTGATATTCAATTAATAGATGTACAAGTCATTCTTATTCCGCAAAAGATACGGTCTTCCATTTCAATCGAACTATAACTATATTCAATCGAACATGCATTCTCCCTGTTTCGACTGAATCATAGAGTACATTTACATTGTACTGAACGCTGATGCTTAATGGTAATGTCACAACCGCTCTGTTGTTACGGGGGCTCTATTGGGGCTTTGTACGCGCTCTTATATGTTTGCTCGTGTAAACTGTTATTGGAAAAAAATAAACGAAAATTGTATTTTGTCACTTTTGGTGCCTTGAACTAAACACTTCACCGTTGTGCTGTTTCTATTAAATTATTGCGAAAAAAGTTAAGAATTAAATACACGTCAGACTAGGCTGTATATGCATAGATTCCTTTTTCTTTGAATCAAATTGACGTTTATAACATATTTCCTTTATCAAATCTCTTATCACTCTGTCAGTGTCAGTACTTTATTTTTTTGTTAAAAAAATTTTTTATTGATACATTCTTAAATTTATTAATGTAAAGTGTAGTTATATGTTAATGTTTATCCAAATGTTTTAACAACCAACCAATGTGCAATTAGCTGTTAATAACAAGATTTGGCAATGGCTTTTACTAAGAAAGACGTAACTCTCTCTGAAGACCGACCGAAAACGTTACTTCTGCAGAAACATTCAGATTACCTGGCCAGCTATGGTCTTAACAAAGATGATTATGAATATTGCATGACTGAATATCTGCGTATGTCGGGTATTTATTGGAGCCTCACAGCTATGGAATTAATGAACCAATCGTCAAGGTATTAAGAATTAAATATCAGTATCAACAAATATTTATTTTGCCAAATTTATAAAAGTTTACATTATCATATTAGGCTTACAAAATATACAGAGACTTTTCGATTTAATATTAAGATTGACAAAATAAGTTTATAATAATTGTTTTAGAATGCCAAAAGAAGAGATTATCGAGTTCATTACATCTTGTCAAGATAAAGAAAGTGGAGGTATATCAGCCAGTATTGGACACGATCCACATATGTTATACACCTTAAGTGCTATTCAGGTAAATAAATCTAAGTGTTTTAAAAAAAGTAGCACTAAGATTCATATTAATGTTGCCTTAATATCACAAACATACTAACCACATCACACAGTTGTTAAAATATAAATAACATTTAAAGTTCAAAAATAGTATAGAGTTTTATTCAAAATTACTTTAATATTTTTTAACCATAAGTGATTTCAAAGTTTACAAACACACATTAAAAGCTCACATATCTACAAAATATGATAATTTATTATATGAGTTCATTGTTCATATTATGTAGTAACTAATAATTAAAGATATAAATTTTTAAGATTAAACAATGATTACTAATTACTAAACAATTATTACTTAGTTGAAACTCAATTGCAATAATAATTACAGAATAGTCAAAACTACATTCAAATTATAACTTAAAAATTAAACAAGATTTATAATTGTGCCTTTAAAACAATAAGACTTTGTGAAGACAAGACATAAATACTTATTAAAGTGTCATTATAGAAATAATATGTACAAACACATTAAATACCTTTGGGGAGGAGAGCACGTGGGGGTGGCAAGATATTTTCAAACTGGTTCCTTAAAAAAATCTTATTTATAAAATTCTTTAAAAGAATCTGATGTATGCATAAACTAAAGTTATATTGAACAGATGTACTCTTACAGTAATTTTTATGAAAACCAAAATTAATTAATTAATTAATACCGTCTAAAACAAAGGATTTGTCTTGGGCGTCAAAATAGGCTGAAATTGCCGACTTCACTTCATGATTGTCGCCAATCTTTTTCCCACGCAGGTCTTTCTTCATTTTTGGAAAAATAACAGTTACTTGAGGCCAGGTCTTTACTGTATGATGGGTGGCGCAGTTGTTCGAAACCGCACCTGTAAATGGCAGCCGCAACATGGCTTGTGTGCATGGGTGCATTGTTGTACAAAAGGAGTACGCCTTTTGTAAGCTTTCCTCTCCTTTTTCTTTAATAGCTTTTTTAATTGATCTAGTAAAGAAGCGTAGTACTCTCCCGTTATGGAAACACCATGTTCCTTTAATCAATCAAAAAAATACCTTCTGTATCCCAAATGATCGTCGCCATTATCTTTCCGTCCGATTGAGACACCTTATACTTCTTAGCACACCCCCTGCCTTTTTTATGCCACTGCATCAACTCTTGCTTTAACTAAGGTTCATAATGGTAAACCCAAGTTTCATCGCCAGTTGCAATTCGAGCCTAACTTCCTCCCTTTGCTCTCCACAGCGGTCCAAAAACTTACGACAATTTTCGACGCACTCATGTTTCGTGCATTCTCGGAAACCATCTTGCACAGGTCATGCCAAGGTGTTGATATAGGATGTTTAAAATGGTTGTTTCTGATACTCCAATTAATGCTGCAAGCTGTTTTTTCTTTAGCCGAGCATCTTACAATCAAGTTTTTCAACTTTTTCGATTATTTCTGGCATGGTAGCCTCAATCGGCCGCCCAGGTTGGGGGTCGTCTTCAATGGAGACCCTCCCTTGTTTGAAAAGGGCATGCCATTAATAAATCATGGTTTTTCCAGGAGTGGAGTCCCCATAAACAGCTGACATCTCTTGAAAAATGTTTTGAGGTGTCTCCTTGTTTGGTGAGAAGCCTAATGACGCCATGATATTCAATTTTCTTCATAGTGGCTAGTTTCTTCCCTATTGACTTGTTTACTCGTTGATAACTCAAAAGCTAGTGACCCAATTATGCTGAAACTTGGTATATATACTAACAATGAGTCATTCAACGAGTGCCTACCTGGATAAGTAAACTCACAATCGGCAACCCTGCCATTCCGCGAAATTTTTGACCTCCCCTCGTATGTTGTTAAAAATGGCTGGCCTTTTGCTACAACTTTATATATAACAAAGTTGTAGCAAATGGATTCTACCGTACTAAGTCTTCTTAAGAGATCTGTTCTTGTACTTAATAATGTAACCAGATAATTTATACAGGTACTGGCAATGTATGATAGAGTTAACGCAATTGATGTTGAAGGTGTAGTGAGATATGTGGCCTCTATGCAGCAAGAGGATGGCAGCTTTTTTGGTAATTATAAATATTTTATAATATGGGTACATTTTTATTTAATTATATGTTGATCCAAAAGGTTATTATTATTAACTTACTTTTTATTTTATCACCCACTTATTGGTTAAAAATCTGGTACAAAGCTTTGATTAATGGTTTGATAATTGACAAATCTTCTGATTGAAAAGTAAAACTAATGATTGTTGTGATTTATTTTTACTAAATTACAAATAATGTTAATATGACATTTTCAAATAGGTGCTTATGTGTTTATGAAAAAACTTTTAAAAATTCTTGTTAAGTAGTAATAATTTTTAAAAATACAGAGGCTATATAACATCTATTTATTTTTAGGTGACAAATGGGGAGAAGTGGACACAAGGTTTTCGTTTTGTGCAGTAATGTGTCTATCTCTTTTACATCGGCTAGATGCGATCAATATAAACAAAGCTGTAGACTTCGTTCTAAGTTGTATGAATTTTGATGGTGGTTTTGGGTCTAAACCAGGATCAGAAAGCCATGCAGGTAATGCCATTTTTTTATTAGGCTACAGATGCAGTTTTACTTATTTTTTTTAATTTTACTTTTCTCTTAAAACACGTTACCCCCACACTAGGATTTTCTCCTGTGTTGTGGAGGCAGTTTACAAACATAAATTGCACAAGGACAAACATCCAGACCCGGAACAATTATTTGTAGGCCATACAAATACTTGTACCGTGCGGGATTCGAACCCGCGGCCCCCAGCGCAATAACTGATTGCTATGCCACTGCGCCACGGAGCCGTCATTGCCATTCCTGAGTGCTAAGATGGATGTAATTGTATGGGTTCCCTATATTCTGAAAACTGGAACACAGCAGTGCTAGTACTACAAGCCAGAAGCAGTACAAGGCAGGCAGAGGGTTATCCAGGCTGTGTAAAGGACCAAGCGGACCATCACTATAATTATTAGCTACGTGGCATTTCATCTTAGTCCTCAAGGGGAACAATGGCTCCTTGGCTTATACATGGTGATGTTTTGCAATATTTTAATATAATTTTTTTTTCAATAGGTCTCATTTACTGCTGTGTGGGTACATTGTCAATCTGCAAAAGGATGGATGCTTTACATGCTGATGAGCTTGCATGGTGGCTTTGTGAGAGGCAGTTGCCAAGTGGTGGACTTAATGGGAGACCAGAAAAACTACCAGATCTTTGTTACTCTTGGTAAGAAACATCTGAATACAATTGCAGTGGCTGTACTACAACTTAGCTCCCTTTCACAAATAATTTAAATTTGGCTATTTTTAAATTGATATTTATGTATTAGTGTTTAAGAAAAAAATTGTGTGGAAACTGTTACTTTTAACTTTCATTAAAAGTAAAGTAAAAAAATATTATTCCAATCTATTCTGACTCGATGAAATAGTAATTCATACTAAGCTTTATGCACTTTGTCAAATTATTAGCTAGAAATTAGCAATAATATATAACGTGTTTCTCAATCATATTTCGCGCGCCCTAAAATGTTTATGTACTGGGAGTTTGACTGATTTGCTTTGTTTTTGCTTGTATTTACTAGTAAGTGTCTATGAAATATTCTTGAATTACCCTCTGCTTTTTTATATTTTGTGCAAGATATATTTTCATACTTTTTTTTTAAAGCATTTTTATTTTCTTTTGTTTCTCAGTAAATGAGTGTATACTCTTTTGTGAAATAAATTTCTTAAACCACTTAAATCGAAAACATGTTTGTTTTACTTACAGGTGGGTGATGTCATCCCTATCAATGTTGAACAGAATACATTGGGTAGATAAAAAAAATCTAGAACAATTCATATTAGCTTGTCAAGATCCAGAAACTGGAGGTTTCAGTGACAGGCCTGGTGACATTACTGATCCTTTTCATACATTATTTGGGTTAGCGGGTTTGTCTTTACTAGGAAATGAAAATATAAAACCTGTGAACCCTACATATTGTATGCCTCAAGAAACAATAGACAGATTAAAATTGGAACCACAAATTTTATTGATTTAATTTTAAGGACAAGTTTTAAGTAATTTAACAGTTTATATAATATATGAAGAAATAAATAATTTATATCATCACTGTATTCAGCTTATATAAATTCATCACCCTTGCTAATGAAATCATCTGTGGCCGTGTGGCGGTGGGCGTGGTAAAAGTCATCACCTCGTTTCATTCCGTGAATGTAAAAGGCGATGGAAAGTCCAAAAAAAATCTTATAGCGTCTGATAGATAGCGGTAACTGGCGACCGACCAGCGACTGGCAGTAACACCAAGGGCGTGAAACTTAAAGAAAAAAAACAAACTCCAGTCAATCATAGTTTGCGAAAAGTTGTTACTTTGAAAGCTATTGTACCGTTACGTTGAAGTTAAGTTACAGCCTATATACACGTCCCACTGGCACAGGCCTCCTCTCATTTCTGAGATGGTTTAAGTGCAAGGAAATGTTCACCGCGCTGCCCCAATATGTAATGGCAAACTTCACATGTCTTTTGTTCTCATACAATCCGGTTTCCTCACGATGTTTGCCTTCACCACCGAGTACGTGGTAAATCAGCACTTGAAATTACAATTAACAATATCATTGGTGCCAGCTGGTATCAAACTCGGATTGTTTACGTACTGTAAAATTTACAAGCGGGCGCTTATCCCCTGAGCTACCACGGCTCTTACCGTTACGTAGTCTCACGTAAAATGCAAGTCATATAAGTTGGGAAAATTTTCCATGTTCGAGTGGTATTTTTTATATTTATTAGAGATTCATACCAGCGTAAAATAGCAGCTTAACACTGCTGTGTTTCGTATGGTGAGTGTAGAGAACCGGAGACACTTTTTACTGGAAAAGAGGCATTCCATCTTAGTCCTCACGGGTGATAACGCATCTGCAATTTGGATTCGCAAACGAGGATAGATGTAGATATCTATGGGCCACAGCTACCACTTACCCTCAGGTGGACTGTGTTCACGTTTGTCACCCTATCCTATAAAAAAAAAATTACTCTCTATGATTAAACTACTCCCCAAACAATATCTCTTAATTTTTTTTTGATATTAATACCTAAACCATAGCGAAAGAACTGACTCAATAGTAATAGAACATGATTATGTATCTACTTCAGTAAATAGAAATAGAAACTTTTTTATTCAATATACGTTATCAGGATCAGTATTCAAACCTATAGAAATAACTTTTTTTTAAAACTATCAATTCTTTTTTAATTTTTATTTTATATGGTTTTATTACCTCTTACTGACACTAGCCGATGATAAAGCTAAGTAAAGCGGGGTCTTTGACAATCCTCTTACTCCCCAGACAATGCAGATGTAATAAAACCACATACAATTTGCATACAATTATTTTTTTAAATAAAATAAAAAAAATATTGTTCGAGTTTTTAAAAAAACGTTTGAATAATGATCCTAATAACGTATTCAACGGGAACCACAGGGTTTTTGTTACATATTGTATATTATAAAATAGCTGGTACCCGGCGCGTTGCTGCCGCAGAAAAATTTGGAAGGGTTCTCTCGGCAGAGAGTAATTGTGTTCTGTTGGAATCTACTATAATACTATACAACGTGCAGGAATAATGGTGACTTTAATTTAACACACATATACGTTTTCACATTTTCGTCATGAAGAAATTATATTTCCATTAAACGTTATTATTTACGGATTTCTTTAAAATTTTAGAAAATAGCATCTTAGAGCAACCTTTACTTAGAGAACTCTCGCGAAGCGGTCATTTGACAGGGTCACGGATCATAACATCGCATCATTGAAATTAAAACGAATAAGCAATACTATTGAAGCAAAGGAACATTCCTTTATCGGCAAGCGGGCGGCGCAGGCGACGCTTAGAGAACTCTCGCGAAGCGGTCATTTGACGGGGTCACGGATCATAACATCGCATCATTGAAATTAAAACGAATAAGCAATACTATTGAAGCAAAGGAACATTCCTTTATCGGCAAGCGGGCGGCGCAGGCGACGCGCGTTCTCCCACCCCGCTGCACCTTTATATATTAGTATATGGCTGCACCGAAATCGAATCTTTTTTTTTTGCTTTTCTAGTGCTAGCTGAATCCGTGTCCTTGACACACTTCTTCACAGTAGTGCGCATAAGTACGTCGTCTAATATTTTGTGAACTTTTCCGCGAAAAAGACGCGGATAGTAATTAAATTAGGGTACTGCGATAAAGTCGCTTTGTTTTGTTTTCGTTTTCTAATCTAGTAGGTACGTTTACATCTCTTGCGATACGGACGCTTTTATTTGTGTTATTAGTGCTTGTGTAAACTTGTAATCGTAATGGCAAGTACACATCGGAACTACACAGCAACTGAATATGCGGACATGACCCTAATTTACGGAGAATGTCGTCAAAGTGCCGTCCTTGCGATAAGTATATATCGCGAGAGATATAGTGATTCAAAACAATACTCGATAGATAAGACTCATCCTCCCACTATTGTAGGAGCCCTTCAGTTCAGTTTCAACGCCCTGGTCGACCGCCTGCCTACACGACAAAACCCAATCTCCAGTTAACTGAAAATGTGATACAATATTTCGAAGACCAACCCAAAACTAGCCTCCGCCGGAGAGCTAGGCATTTTCAAGTCCATCACAGAACCGTCCATAGGATATTAAAGCGCGAAAAGTGGCACCCATTCAAGTTTAGAAAAGTACATACTCTGCTATCGTGTGATAAATTAATAGGAGTGAATTATTCTCAGTGGCTACTGAGCAAAATTGAAGAGGACAGTAACTTTCTTTCCCAAATTTGTTGGACTGACGAAAGTACGTTCACCAGAAACGGCATGTGGAACCAGCACAATCTGCACCATTGGGTACCTAAAAACCAAAATCCGCATGTTTGGGCAGCTATTCACGGTGACAACATCATCGGACCCGTATCCATTAATGGGACTGGGACGCAGAAAGGTTTGTTAATCTACTAAATGATACGGTGTTAGAGTACGCAAACAACCTAAACGTCCATCGATACCAGCAAATGTGGTACCAACTAGATGGCGCGCCAGCACACTTTGTAACAACAGTCAAGCAATGGCTAAATGACACGTTTGGTGCACAATGGATTGGTAGATTTGGACCTCGTAGGTAGCCAGCAAGATCGCCAGACCTCACACCACTCGATTTTTTTTTCTGGGAGTGCATCAAAGACGATGTGTACGCGGAGAACGTGGATTCGGTAGAACAATTACGCCATCGAATAATAAATGCGTTTAAGAAATGAGGGAAATGGCTATAAGTGACAATTTATTTTCAAATGTGCGGGAAAACATGAAACGCCGGTTAGCTCTTTGTGGTCACACTAGCGCATGCAAATCGATAATCGATAACCGATAATTTATCGCTAATCAGTTCATTTTTCTCATCGATAATTATCGAAAAATTTCTTAAAAATACCGATAAATTCATAAAGGTTTTATGCCACCATTTCTATCACTACCGCGAGTCATTTTTTGAAATTCGCGCTGCGTGCGGTTGCATTCCACCCGCCCGTGTCTATAGCTCTCTCGCTCACTAATTTCATGGCCGACACGAGTGCGCAGTCGCGTGCAGGTCAGAACGCGCCATTCAGCGCGGCGTGCGAAGTTTATTCAGTGTGATCCAGTGCGGTGTGATGTTTGGTTGGTTGCGTTGTGTTCTGTTGAGCGTGCATCGCTTTTTTGTCGACACGACGATAAAGGATTTACAATAGGTAAGTAGAATAATCTAGATAGATTTTAAGTAGATTTTTATATTATGTACTTGTTCGACGTTAGTTGCATAAACCCACTTCATATTCATACATCTTCTTTACTTCATAGCCCACAGGGTCACTGGCCAGTCGTATAAGTAGGTAATTTTACATAACATTTTAAACTTTAAGTAGGCACACGTTATTTAAGTGTTACGTACGTAGTGTACTTAAAATTTTATTTACTTACACAGTACTAAAATATCAATCGCAGTATTACCAAATTACCGTATTTTTATCGAGATCACGTCTCAGTGTGTCTCAGTCTACCAGTGTTGCCCGTAGCTTCGATGCATAAATAATATTATTAGTAGTGTGACTATTAAAACTCTTTTGTTTTAGGTACTTACTGCAACGAATGAATTAATCAATAACATCAAATAAAGTACATTTCCGTATACAAAAAAAGTTCCGATCCATCGTCGGTTTGGTGTCATTTCCTAAAGGCCGATATTGATGATTCTGCAAAATGTAAGACATGTGAAAAAGTTATTAAATGTGTGGGTGGTACTACAACGGGAATACGCAGCCATTTAAGATTACATAACATTTCACTTGACAGCGAAATGCTTGAGAAGTAGCTAGGGAAACTGCTGGAACTTCCAAAAGAAAAAATTATAACTCTTTATTGGAGTTATTTTCAGCGAAAAATTACAGAATGACCGACTACTTTGCACAATCGAACAGATCATTGGATGTTATGGTATCAAGAATGACAGCACTTGACGGTATGCCTTATGGGGCATTTACAGAATCTGAAGACCTGAAGCATCTTTTTAAAAAAGCTGGTTATAAATTACCTACGAGCGCAAACACTATAAAAGATGTGACTGTAAAATTTTATGATAAGACTAAGAAAAACCTTATAAAGGAAATACAGGAACTAAAGGATGAAGGACACAAATTTTCGGTTTCAATAGATGAATGGACATCTTCAAGAAATAGGCGATATATGAATGTGAATCTTCACTGTGCATTTTTCAAAGATAACCATCACACGACGAAAAATCTTGATTTATGTAGGACGTATGGCTCTGTTACCGCTATCAAGTGTGAAGAATACTTGCGAGAAAGGCTACACGAATTCAAATTAGATTTTGACATTGATGTGATCGCCATTGTATTTGACGGAGCTTCTGTTATGACAAAACAGTTATGCTTAGCTCATGGCTTGCAATTGGCCATCGTGGATACGTTATACGTAAAAAAATAAGAAAACGTAAATGAACCTCAAGAATAACTTTTCG